AGAAAAATAAAAAATATTACAAAGGTCGAGAGAGATTCTGTTTAATCATGTGTGTATGGTATCAGTTTGTATCGTAAAAACATGGTGATATTAATCCTCCTCCTCCTCCTCCTCCTCCTCCTCCTCCTCCTCCTCCAACCCGTCATCCCACCAGCTCACCATCCCCACTGCCCTGTCACGTTGCAGGAACCCAGCGCATCCCTGCTGGCCGCAAAGGCGAGGGCCCGACCACGAGGCTGGCGCAGGTGCTGCAGGATGACTGCCAGTTCCGCATGGGGCGCCTCAGGTGTGTATTGCAACACCACAAGACAGAATTGGGTCAACGAACACACACACACACACACACACACACATACATACACATACAGTCCCCAATTCCCTGAACTGCCGCGGGCTGTTTTGTGCGCTCTTGTTGTGGCCTCTCACTCCACACGTCATCGACACCAACGACGACAACAACACCGTTAGGACTGGCACGCCGCCACGCTTGCACGTGGACTCCATTGACTTTTCTGGAATGGTGGAGCAAAAGTCCGAATATCCGCCCGTCCCATTCTCCTTCCTCACAGATCAGGTACATAGATGCTTTCTGTGTGTGTGTGTGTGTGTGTGTGTGTGTGTGTGTGTGTGTGTGTGTGTGTGTGTGTGTGACAGTGTGTATAGGTATGGCATGGTGATTAGGGTGTCCAATCATGTTGGCTCTTCTCTCTCTAGCCTCTCGGTGCTCACTCTTGAACACATGTGTCTCAATCACAGGTGGATCAAATCGACAACTTGGTGTCCTGCCACATGACGTACACCAACGCGGAAGCACACGCCATTGTTCATGGTCAGTCATCACTGCACGCTGCTTCGCACTGTGCGCTTGAGTCTTGTTTGATAAATCAACACTCTGACTTGAATGTGCGTTGTGTGCATATCTGTGTGTGTGCATATCTGTGTGTGTGTGTGTGTGTGCGTGTGTGTGTGTGTGTGTGTGTGTGTGTATGTAGAGACGCTGCATGAGAACTGCCACATCCAGGAGGAAGTGACGGGCCCCCGGTACTGCCCGTCCATTGAATCAAAAGTCCTTCGCTTCACAGATCGCGACCAACACCAAGTCTGGCTCGAGCCGGAGGGCCTCAACTCCGTACGTTGTTTGCTGCTTGTTAGTGTGTGTGTATGTGTGTGTGTGTGTGTCTATCTGTCCGCCTGTCTGTCCGTCTGTCTGTCCGTCTGTCTGTCCGTCTGTCTGTCGTGGGAAGCATGCTTGGAGGTTGTTGTTTACCTTGCAGTGCGTGAAGCATTTCAACAGACACACCCCTCACCCTCCCCCCCCCCCCTCATTCCCCACCTATTTTCATCTCTACTACGAGGGCAGGAGGTGATCTACCCGAACGGCATCTCGATGACGATGCCGGAGGAGGCGCAGCAGCGGTTCATCCGCCTCATGCCCGGGCTGCAGAACGCCACCATCGTCCAGCCAGGTGATTCAGCGGGGACGGGGGAAGAGGGAAGGAGAGACATGTGTGTGTGTGTGTGTGTGTGTATGTGTGTGTGTGTGTGTGTGTGTGTGTGTGTGTGTGTGTGTGTGGATACGGGATGTACTCGCACCGGCACCATGTGTTAGAGAAGGAGGATGCGAGGAACAAGGCCACGCGCGCATACAAGAATAGACGTGCTTGCATGCTGATATTGTGCATGCACACAGACATACATACATTCCGCATGCTTTTGCGCGTTCACACTTTCGCTCATACCCTCACTCTCACATGGCCGCACATGCATGAAATCAGGGTACGGTGTTGCGTACGACTACATTGACCCGCGAGAGCTGCAACACACGCTCGAGACGAAAAAGGTTGCTGGCCTCTTCCTTGCCGGCCAGATCAACGGCACAACAGGCTACGAGGAGGCAGCAAGCCAGGTTGGTCCATTGTGTTTGTGTGTTTGTGTGTATTTGTGTGCTTGCGTGCCTCTGCTTCTCTGTACCTGTGTCTCTCTGTTTTTCTTTATCTGTGTTTCCCTCTTTTTCTGGTCTGTCTGCCTAGTTTTGTCAATAAGCGCGCCATGGACGCTGCCTCTTTCCTCCTACGTCGCTCACTGCACTGCAAATGTTCCCACCTTCTACTCTTCCTCCAACAACCAGGGCATCATCGCGGGTGTGAATGCAGCCAGTGCCGCACGTGCGCTGCCACCGCTGGTGCTTGACCGGGCGCAGGCGTACATCGGCGTCCTCATTGACGATCTCGTCACAAACGGTGTCTCGGAGCCCTATCGCATGTTCACCAGCAGAGCAGAGTACGTGTTGTGTTGTGTTGTGTTGTGTTGTGTTGTGTTGTGTTGCGTTGTGTTGTGTTGTGTTGTGTTGTGTTGTGTTGTGTTGTGTTATGCGTCCCTGTGTCTACCTACCTACCTCCCTGCCTGCCTGTTTGCGTTTCTGTTGTTTGCTTGTTTGCTTGTTCATCTACGATGCTCTCCGACCCACATTGCCCGCAACAAACACTCAACCATCGCCTCT